TTTTTCTCCGGTACCGGGAACCGAACTCACGACCTTGCGCTTGCCAGGCAGGCGCTTTTGCCGCTGAGCTAAATCCCCAGCCCCACAAGAGTGGTATTCTTATAACACAAAGACATGAGTTTGGCTTCTTTTCCCCAACTCTTTGTCAAAAACTTGCATGCAGTCTGTTGGCCTTTCTGCATGAAGTAATAGAGCATGATTTTCTCCAACAGATGTAGGCTCCTTAATTTTAGACTTCCCTGACTCCAGGACATAAAGGAAGAAATCTCTTTTGTCCTCTTCATAAATTGCCCAGTTTCAGAGATTATGTTGTTATCACAGAAAACATGGTGTGTGATGACAGGGTCTATTCTCCAAGAAAATAGACTAATCCTTTATGTGCACCTCGCAGTAGAGCATCTCAGTATGGATGCCAAAAACTGGTAGAACTACAAGGGGAAGTAAGTGAGTCCACTCTGCCAGTTGAAGACTTTAGTACCTCTCCTTCAGTAATTGACAGATTCACTAGGCAGAATTGTAGTAAGGACATAGATGAACTGAACAGTAGCATCAGTTGGCTGGATCCAGTTTACATTTACAGAATACTCAATCCTATGACAGCAGAATATACATTCTTAACAAGTTTATGTGGAAATTCAGCACAAGAACCCATATTACAAGCCAAAAATTTACCTCAACATATTAAGTGAGCAGAAGTCATGCAAAGGAGATTCTCAAACCACAGAGAATTTAAACTGGAAGTTAATAACTGAAAAATAGCAAAAACTCCCAAAATATTTGCAAACAGCGCACTTATAAGTAGCACGTGAATCAAAAAAATCCCAAAAGAAGTTTAAAAAAATTTGAAGTGAATGAAAGTAAAAGAACAACTTATCAAAATTTGTGAATGCAAATGCACTTAGAGAGGATATTTATTGTTCAATGCATATATTAGAAAATAAGAAAGATAAGAATCAATCCAGGATTCCCCCTTACAGGATAAATAAATAGAAGACAAAACTGATGAACTTCCAGCCAGGATACAGAAGAAAAAAAGAGCGAACACAAATTATTAATATCACAAGTGAAATGAGGCCATGCCTAGTGAACCATAGACATTAAATAACAATAATACAATACCACCACTAACTGTACCCATAATTTGATAATTTAGACAAAATAGACTAGTTTCCTACCAGATACAATCTACCAAACTCACACAAGAAGAAATAAATACTCTGAATAAGTCTGTGTCTACTAAACAAATTGAATTGGTAAATAATAATCGCCCTCTCTCAAAAAAGATCAGACCCAGATAGTTACACAGACAAACTTCACCAAACACATAAAGAAAAATTATCTTGATTCTCTACAGTCAGTTCCAGAAAAGTAGAAGCAGAGGAATATTAACTAATTCTCTAAGGCCAGCACCACTTGAATAAGAAAACCAGACAAAGGTATGAGGAGAAACAGTACCTATAAACAAGACACTGTTACAAATGCAGCAATTCTCAGTAAGATACTAGCTAAGCAAACCCAACAGAGTACAAAAACAAGTACAAACCCCAGCGGAGTCGAATATGCCCCAGGTATGCCAGCATGGTTCAGAATTTTAAAAAATCAGTCAGTTTAATCTATTCCATCAGTAGGTGGAGTAGAAAAGTCAAATGATATCAGTAGATACATAAAAAGCATTTGACAAAATATAACGATTTATGATTGAAATTTCTCGGCAAACGATGAAGAGAACTTTCTCAAATTGATGGAGGACATCTGCTAAAAATTCTCTACAGCTACCCTGGTGCTTAATGATGAGAAACTTACTGTTTTCTCACTAAGAATGGGAATAAGGCAAGGATATCTCCTCTTTTCATCCTTCTTCACTATCATACTGGAAGGTTTAGCTAATCAGAGAAGAGGGGAAGGGAAACGTTAAAGTTTTTTTTTTTCAAATGACATGTTTTTTTTTTTTTTTT